TCTGTGAGGACAGACTGAGACATCTGTGAGGACAGACTGAGACATCTGTGAGGACAGACAGACATCTGTCCTCACAGATGTCTCTTGTTTAGAGACAAAGTTTATCTGCTTTTACAAATAACTCCAATCTAACAAAACCAGCAGAAACTAATAGTTCAAACTGGACCCTGCTCATCAGGATCTCAGAGGTCCAGGACAAGCAGCTCTACAGAACCAGAACCAGAACGCCCGCCTGAAACTCCAAACCTCCTCCATCACCTTGTAGGAGCTCTGAGCCTGAAGCCCGGTTTGATCCTGGATTTCCATAAATTAACTTGAACCGCAGCAGAGGCTTCCTCTGCGGGCCGACCCGAACGTTGAGTTTTTATCTCAGTCCAACAGAACAAACCCACAGAACCAGCAGAACCAGGTTCACCGGCAGCACCCCGCAGGGGAACCGAAGTCCTGACATGTCAGGATTTAAACGTTGTTCTCAGAGAATTAATTCTCTTTTTTCTAATTAGCAGTTTGTGTAAATCCAGTCTGACCTGAATCCTGACAGACGAGGCTGTGATCAGCCGACAGGCCGTAAAACTAAATCCTTTACGACACGTTCAAACACTGATGCCTTAAATATTCAATTTTACACACAAATTAATAGAAATTCCTCATTTTTAAATGCAGCAAAAATAAAAACATTTGATGAAATGTGGAACAGAAAATAAACCTCTGATTAAAAACAATGTTACATTTTGTTTCTACTTTAACTTTTTATTTAATAAAACACATTTAATTTTATCATTAATTTAATTTAATCAATATCTTCATATTTGTTCATTTGTTTTAATAAAGTGTTTTTTGTTGATTTGTCATTGATCCTACCTGAGCTCCTGTCTGTCAGCTCCTCACTGGCCCCGCCCACTCTCACCTGTCCCAGGTGTTTGACATTAACATTAGACGTGTACTTTTTCTTGCAGTTCCTGCAAATGTTCCTGTTTTACTTGTTCATGAGTTTGTTTTGTTCAGGAGCGTTCCGGTTCCAAAGCCAAACCGAGACGTTTTCATCGACTCAAACTGAGTTAAGTTGTTTTCAAAGGTCCGGCCTGTTCTGGGAAGGCCCGGTTCTGTGTTTTCTGCAGGATCAGGACAGAAACGTTCTGCTGAGTCGTCAGTTTTCTGCTCAGAATGTAAACTTCTAAAACTTACAGAGGAATTTGCATAAAAAAATAATTTTATTTTCCTAAAATCTCCTGAACTTTAAACTTTTGACATGAAAACTGGTTGAGGTTCAGACAGAACCTGGATCAGAACTCATCCAGACCGACTCTGATCTTGGTGATTTTTTTCCAACAGTTTTTATGTTTTCTGTGTACTTCCTGTTTAGCCTGATGCTAACAGTGTTAGCTTAGCTGAGCAGGAGTGTCAGTTTCATCCTGAGAGGTCGGACTGAAAGGTCCAACAGAACGGTTAAATAAAAATAAAACACCTCCACATCACTTCTGAACATTAGTTCAGGTAAACCAGCTTCTTTATCCTCCTGTTTAACCAACATTTCACCTGTTTTCATCAGTTTTTATTTGTCACTTCAGACTTTAACCCTGATTTTATTTATCTACTGTTTGGACTTGGTCAGCACGGTGAGGTGGTGGTTGGAGCGGTCTTTCTATGACAGTCTGATGAAGAGGATGGTCAGGGTTGTCCACAATGTTCTTGATTTTATGTAAAATCCTTCTTTGCACCATCATCTCCAGAGGTTCCACAGTTGTCCCCAGAACAGAACCAGCCTTCTTTATCAGGTTGTTTAGCCTTTTTAGGTCCCTGGCTCTGATGC